AATAAAATAAATTGTATAAAGCGCAGATTAGAAATAAGAGAGAATGGCAGAACAGAAGCGTAAATGTTGTAATCCCAGCACAATTGTTGTGGTTTTAAATGCAACTTAAATCATAATAAATTCATTAAACTCGGCASTGGGCCGAAATAGATATGTGAATTGAGACATTTCGTCACACCAAATCAAGTACGGCTTCGTAATMATTAATGAATTATGAAAAATAACTCTTATTGTATTTATAAATTTCATAAGGCACGCAAATTATGTAATTGATAGATATTAATAGAATTCAGTTCCCTATAGCTCCAATTGTCCACATTCCACAACGGTAGAGTTTTCTTACCAAAAGGATTCTTTATTTTCTACCGCTTACCATATCTCCAGCATTTTGCGAAACTATCTGTCCTACAGAAAAACGGAGTCAAGTGTCAAAGTTTACGCAAGTGATGAAAGTTCTCTGAGCGCCATTCACTTGGGAGTTGCCAGAACCGATTCTTTTACAGCTCACGACTTCGAGTTCTAACCAAGTATTCTCTGTGTAGCCAAAGAACATCCATGTGAAGGCGAGCTAAGTGACAAGGCGAAACATCTCCTCCACAAGGTTGTGCGCTGAGTTTGGGACCCGTAACGTAACGAACGGACGGAAGAGGAACCCCCCTTTAATATCTCCTGCCATAAAACAAACAACCGTCGCACTCGCGAATAAGCACCCACATGACTGTTGACAGTCATAACTTTGAAGTCGTAGATAATTTCGTCTAAAGCAGAATATCTTGTGCCAACAGGTGCTACTTCGGACTAAGTAGGCAATTAAGAAGAAAAYTCCTCTCGAAAAAACACTATAAGTCACTCATTGTTCCCTACCTGTTATATGGTGCAGAGGCATTGACGATGAAAACATCTGATGAGTCGACGTTGCTAGTTTTCGAAAGAAGRGTTCGGCAAAAGATTTATGGTTCTTTGCTTGTTGGCCACGGTGACTATCGCATTCSATGGCTGTATGAGGTAGACGACGACATTGACATAGTTCAGCRCATTAAAAGACAACATCTAGACTGGCCTGGCTAGGACCTGTTGTCGGAATGGATGAAGACATTCCAGCTCTGCGAATATGCGACGCAGTATCCGCCAGGGAAACAGAGGAAGAGGCAGACCTCCACTCTAGTGGAATGACCAGGTGAAGAAGGTTCTGGATTCGCTTGGAATCTCCAATTGGCGCCACCTTGCGAAAAGAAGAAACGACAGGCTGGCTGATGTCACCTCKGCTAAAACCGCGTGACCGATGTCTCCGTCTGTAAAGAAGAAGAACAAGAGCTTCCCTACCAAAAGAAACCCTTATTTTCAGCCATTTACCACGTCTCCATCATTTTCCGAAACTGTCCATCCTTAAAACTGGAAGATTAGTTAATATTAAAAGACTTGTAAACACGGTATTCATGCACATATGTGCACATTTGTGTCACGTGACTGCGAGAATCAACTTTCAGCGTTTAGTTAAATAATGGAAAGTTAGATGAAGTTAATACAGCAGCATTTAAATAATTTTTAATGACAACTAATTGTTGTCCCCACACGCGTGCCACATGATCTCGGCGGAATAGCGAAAATTTATTACAAATAATTGCGTGCAAGTGACGGCAATGAAAGTAGAAAACTTTGCGCGAGACCATCAAGCTACGGTTGTGTAATGCTGTAAAGCGTTTTGGTTTTGTAACGAGAGCAATAAAATGTTATGAATAAAATGTTATGAAGTGAGTTTTGTCTTCAACAAATTGTTTATTGCCAACGCGAAATTGACTGAAGTCATGAAACATGTTGGCAAGAAATTGTCGAAAACTTCCACCAGGGAACGAAATTGGATGCAAAGGCCGCTTTCTGAATTTACTTGAGTGTACTAGTAGTTGCTAAGTAACCCGTTGACCCGCTGCTAGTTTCGGACTGCATGAAACTGTTAAAATGGTTTGCTGAAATTGCTGTCGTGAACCCTCGCCTCACCCACTGGCCTGTCCATTTGACATGAATACTTTAAATGGCAAAAGCTTGCATTGGCACTGCAGAAAGCAGCATGACAAGAACAAAAGACTACGTAAAGTAGATTTGCTTATGCAAATGTGTTGGTGCTGGCAGTACCTGCAGAGAGCAATGAGCCGGGCCATTGAGTGCTTCAATCCAGAAAAACATGTTTTATTGCAAATTTTGCTAAAAATTGAGGAAAATCACATGCGCGCGCTTGTGTGTGTGTGTGTGTGTGGCAGAAAATGCCAAAGCAAAACATTGTTCATGAGAAGTGGGCAAAGCGTAAAGAGCAAAGATGCATGGGAAAGCAGACTTTTATTTTAATAACTGCACTTTGCAGTAGACATGCCATCACACATCAGCGCGCACGRACCCGTCATGTTAGTGTCGGGCGGTGGGGTGTGCATTRTCTTGTTCTTCKGTAGGGCCATTTATTCCYTAAATTGGCAGTGAACTTGCAAGTTGSCTGCTTGTCTGCTCGTCAAGCATACAATCCGCACTTGAGGCGCGCCTATGCTTCGTTTGCCACCGCCTAGTTGCATGATTCTATCGTATACATKATATGTTTGAAGGTGGTGGTTGAGCATTACAAACTCACTGTTGGGCTGCTATGACATTGTCTAAAAAGTTGAACACACACATAGTAAGACTTAGAATGCCAGCTGGGCATCCGCCAATAACYGGGTCAGTCAAGTCAAATTATACTGAGGAATTGTATGAAAAAAACTTCTTGGAATCTCAGATCCCAGGCATTATCGAGGTCTTTCTACTACTTTCATGCAGCGTTCCATGCTTGAAATAAGTGAATGTTATTGAGAAAATTTTGATACTAGGAAGTGGGATCAAACATAGCGCGATTAGATATAACACAATCCATGCAAATGGAAAGAGTCTTATCACAGGGATGGTGCTTTTGAGCGTAACACACGCGCGCATGTGCGAAAGCCAACGATTTCACTTCGTTTGTAATTGTGGTCATCTGTAAATATGTAGAACTTCATGCCACAGCGAGTTACCTTACATACACATACACAAACTTAAAGGCTTATGCATGTCATCTTCTCCTTTAGTGGCGTATACGCCAATTACGCGGTTATAGCCGAGTTAACAACAGTGCGCCAGTCGTTCTTTCTTTTCGCTGCTTGGCGCCAACTGGAAATTCCAAGCATGACCAAGTTCTCCTCTACCTGGTCTTTCCAACTGAGTAGATTTTCCTCCTCCTCTGCTTCCACTATATCAGTGTCGTCGTGCATATCGTACAGCTCATTATTCCATCGACTACGATACTCGCAGTTGCCAATGCCCAAAAGATCATACATCTTCCGCGGAAAGTCATAACGTCGGATCATTAGATGCGGTCATCGTCCATACCTCTGCACCATATAGCAGGACGGGGATAATAAATGACTTGTCGAGTTTGCTCTTTGTTCGTCGAGAGACGACTTTACTTCTCCATTGCATAGATGAAATTATTTACGACTTCGAGGTTATGACTGTCAACAGTGACGTTGGAGGCAAGCTGAGAGTGCGACCGCTAGTTTGATGATAAAAGATATTTCGGTGGAGAGGTGGTGTGTGTCAATCCTCTTTTCATGGCGCTTTTCGAAGATTTGGCGCATGTTGTAAATATGGTCAGTTGTTGGTATTCCAGGCCTGAAGCCACACTTGAAAAGCCCAATCAGTATGTTGACGGTCGGCTTAAATCTTTCACACAATACGCTCGATAAAACCTTATATGCGTTGTTGAGGAGACTTTTCCCACGATAGTTGGCGCAGATCGTGTGGGCTCTTTTTTGTGGATTGGGCCCTACCCACACCTACACTTAAATTCCACTTTTCAGGACTGCTTCCGTCCGATCATAATCTACAAAGAAGCTGACGCATACTCCTTAGCAGCCTTATCAGTTCGTCGCCGCCGTATTTGAATACCTTGGTCGGACGGTTGGACGTGTAATTGCTATTCGAACAATGCTAAATGCATATGAATCCCTATAATTCATCTTGAATCGCATTCTCATTGAATGTAAATAGGATGTTTCTTCTCAACAATTTGTAATTAGGCATTTATTGCAAAAGGTACAATGTTAAATTGTGGCACCATGGTACCATGGTAGAGAAAGTGGTTGGAGAATATATGTAGGGACTCACACAAGGTTGCATAAATAATTCTTAATAAAAAGTGGAAAAACTTTTGGSTTACCTTGCGWACAATTTCATGRATTAATATTACAGTTTTGTTGCACTTATCATGCTCTCGTGCGCTACGGAGTTCCCACGGTGTCGGTGCCGGTGTAAGACCGCATCATTGCAAAGTTTTCAACTTGATCGCGTCTCCATTACAGCGCGCAACATGCACTTAACTGTAAAATGTTGYTGGTCCGACGCCAACTCGCAAAGCCAATTATATTTACATCGAAGTGCCGCAGTCAGCTCTGCCGGTGCCGCCGCCGCAGACGCTGCTACGAACCCAAATAGCAAGTGGCCAAACTGAGGAAAGGTGTGAAGCGCGCCAAGCGAAAAAGAAAATCAACACCTTGGCAGCGCTGAAGGCACAACGAGCGTGGTGTTATGGTAAATCAAATCACGAACAGCGATCAGTTGCAGACTTAAGCTCGTGTTGAACAGTTGTGCGCATGCTCGTCGCGTCGCTAACAACAAATCGWATACTCMACCAACGATAAGCCTGAAATAGCCAATTGGATATAATTCAAAAGCGAATAAGCGTCGAAAAGAAGACGCGTTACGTTGAACACAAGCATACATACGCGATATTATTGTTATTGCGAGTCCACTACGCACAAAACACATACGATCGTTGTGGTAACCAGTTCCCGAAGAAAGGTAAAGAGCTACATACWTACAGCAGCGACAGCAAGAAAGTCTAATTGTAACATACGCACACACACGTACATTTCCACATATATATACTGTTTGAAAACCAGCTGCGCAGTCGCATTGCCAGCRCAGTTGGCTAAAAAAGCTGTAAAAACCGCAAGAGAAAACTTTTATTGACGTTAGTCGTGCGGCAAGCGGCCAAGAGTGCAGTGTTTGTGGCAAAGGTGGCAAACAGTGTTCAAAAAATACACGAGTGATAAGCTTTAAAGACATATTGAACAGAAACACTAGTGTGCTTACGCCAAAGTTTAAAAGTTTTACGAATAATATTTTCAGCTAAAGGAAATTTTGGTTTTTAAATTGGCAGAGCGACGGTTTTCGTTTATACAGAGTTTGAGTAAATCCACTTAGAAGAAAGGTAGATATTACAAGGAGTTTGCGCTGGTTGAAAAAGTTACTGAAAGTAGTGAGTGAAAACACCTTGACAGAGAAATCGTAAATATATAGTAACAACTGCTTTGAAATGTTTTGGAAAATGCTTCTCAAAGAATAATGTTGAATAATAAGTGCTATAAAAGATAAAGACTATTAATATAATWTCTAAAATACATCCATAATTATTATTTGTCTACTTTGCTGAATTAAAAAGCTTTGGTGGAYCTCCTCAACTTTTTTTTATTATTTGCAAATTTTATTGACTTGACGAACACTATTTTAAAACTATCAAAGAAAACCTTCAATTAAAACCAAAAGTTTAAAATAAATTCTTGGAGAGAAACTCTTCAATATTTCACGTGCAACGGTAAATWCGAACACATTTACATATGTGCACTCACGCCGGAGGCACTTTCGACCACGTTCAAGTCATATACTGCAAATGCTCGTAAATAACGTAGTGAAAAGGAATTCCGAAACGGTCATGCGCATACACATAAACACACACACATACAGACTTCCGCGTATTTATGCACGTACAAAGACGACTTGTAATGTCAGAAGAAAGTGTTACGAATTGGGTGTGTTCGAACTGGTTCGATAGCCGAAAGAAATGCTSTTCAGCGCTCAAGTCCAAGTGTACGACCGTGTCTCTGCTTATATGAAGTTYGTGTGCAAGTTTACACGCTTTCAACCCATTAGCGTGCTGAGCATGCGCGACCACAGCGCCCCACAACTCCATTGTTGGCAAGTGGACGAAGTTGTCAATGGGCTGACTGTCGATACTGACCCACTTTTCACAAAGTTGCATTGTTTTTGTAATGCTTTGTATGTCGTATTATTGTCGTATTTAATGGATTTTAAAGAATTGGTTTAATTACATTGATATCGTTCTTCGGGCACTTGCACGAGCCAGACTTGGTAAGGTCTACGTGAATATATTGCACATATGAATATGCATAAATGTATATGAATATATATAAGTTAAAGTGGGTGATTCTGGCACATCAAATGGCTTCAAATTAAGTATGCATGGAATAAAAGGCGCTTAAAGAACTGAATAATCGAAGCATTGGTAAAAATACTTTTCAAGCAGCATTTCKACACCTCAGACCATAGCATGCGTAGGCGCTTTTATGCATTCGCATAAGTGAGCAACAGATTCCGCGTGTCTTACTACCAGGCTTGCACTCAGCAGCCACTCTCCAAACGCATTTCTTCATTTTTCAGCGCTCGCATTAAAAGTTTCTCAGCTGCTCAGCTCAAGCATTCAGCGCGTCGTTACTTTTTAAAGGCTTGCGCGTATTTGTTCCAAAAGGGCGCGAAATAAGTAGTCATCTTAATATCGCTATACAAACAATGGCCAAGCCTCAACTCGTGTCGTCCGTCTCGCACGGCTTAAGACAATTCAATTTCTTAAGTTGTTCTTCTTTTGTTCTTGCCACTTTAGTTGGTCGTCGTGTGCAGTTGCAATTGACCCACATTTAAGCAGTGTGTATATGGCCTCATGAACACACATACACACGCACATGTATGGCCAGTTGTGAAAGTACAAATCTAGCAGCGCGAGTCTTTTCATGCGTTACAATTATTTGTATTGCCACTCAAGTGCGGAGTTAAGAATTTTTCCGTCAGCGCGCAGTTAGCTGAAAGTGCTCACACTCATGCACGCCAGCAGCTTTCAACGCTTTCATCGCTGTGCGCTTCTGTACCACTCCCACTTGCTTCACGCTCGCTTGGCTTGTGTGCGGTCTAGATTTTAATGTTTTGGCAGTAGCGGCGTCTTCATTAGCGAAGCCACAAAAAAAGCGATTTACTTGAGAAGTGAAGCGATGAAATGTACAAGTAAATAAGGATGCTGTATGAGGCAAATATAGTTCCTTTCAACAAACAAGAAATATGTACTTTAGCCGTGAAGCCCTGTCCATAGAGATGCAAAAACTGGCATACGAAAGGTGAGAATGCGATCTCTTAGAATTTCGTTCCATTATAGCGCTTTTATCCCTTAACGAAGATCTTCAACGAGGTCTGTCCGATGGCCGAAATGCCGTTTGTGTAATAAAAGATTCTGAACACAGCGCTTTGGTTTCTTCAGTGATTGGCATTATATATAGACTACCTTCATCATGTCTTTATATATCTGAGAAGCTGKAATAGTTCCACTCTTCTCCGCTTGYAGCCATATTTCCTGGGGCCCGGCGCATTTCTCGGCTTTATTATGCACCCAATTGGCGAAGGAATGTAATGTATGTGCACATACGCTTATCGCTGGTTCGCGTGCGGGGAGGTGTGTTGGAAAATTCGTATTAAGTGCACTCGCTTCGCAATTTGAACTTGCTTCCGCGCACAAAAAGAAGCTGCAGGGCGTCAGAGCGAGCTCCATCRCATACGAAATTCAGCACTTTGCGTATTATATACCGTATAATATAATCCTAACTGTTTATGCTGCTTTTGTTGAGCGCTAGTGTGGGGTAATGAGTAGACATGTGAAGGAAAAATGCGCGAAACTCTGTGGTTCCTGTGCGTTTTTTGCAGCGCTTCAGGATTATAATAAGCAACACGGGCAAAAAATGGCATATAAAATGAACAAGTTTCTGAGGAGAATTGGTGTTAAATGAAGAAAGCGGCAACTTTCTTATGGTTCAATGGGAGGCATTTTAGCGTGTGTCATATTTGTACTTGAAGTCTCTGTTAACTGCGAATTAAGACTGTATCGTCGTATATATTTCCCAAACAAAGTTTTAGAGTGGGAAGATGACTAAATAACAGTAGTTTGCTCACTTCACACACTGAAGACCTCTTCAATGTACATCGGTAATTTTTACGWTAAGTGTTCTTCAAAGAATTGCATTGCCCCGGCGACGCGTGCATGTGTTAAAGCGGTCTAATATGTTGGTGTGTAACTATCTGCATTCCTTCGCAAGTAAAATGACGCATTTATTTATTTTTCACTTGTATTCCGCAACGCCATTGCTGTTGTTGTAATGCATTTTAAGTTTAACAAGCAAAGAACAAGCACAATTTGCAGTTTCATTCACGCTTCTTACACAGACACCGTACACGGCACTCCAGGCACTTCCATACTCGGCGCGCTCACCCTCAACGCCGCACTGTGCTTATTTGAAACGAAACTTTGCTGAGGCGGCGGTGTTGTGCTGACATTGCRTATACGCCCAAGTGTCCCAACTGTGTAACAAAAGTTTTCTTTGTCTTATTTTCAGCACTTTGATTTTGTTCTTTTGGGTTTTGTGCAATTTTCGCACACATTCACACGCACACGCACACACTCGCAAGGACGTACACAGATTCCGACTTGTTTAACCCACTTTTCTGCATACGTCCGCACACATGCAAGCTTATAAACTTGCTCCAAGTGAACAAGTGCATGTGTGTGTGTGTGCGAGCGTGGCGTTATCTACACCCAAATCGACGCTTGCACTTTCCAAATTGTTGTTGTTTTAATTATAGTGTTTACACTATGCTTCAGCAACTATGACGACAACAATGAAAACAACAAGGGACTATAAATGATGCATGCAACGACAGTGCACGCCTGCAACATGCCATTTACGGTATTTGCAAGTGGCATAAGAGTCTCAACGGCAACATCAGAGGCTAAAAGAATAAACGTTAAATGGAACGAAAACAACAAAAATAAACAGCATAGAAGCCAACAACAAGAGCAAACGCATCAACAGCCATTTTCACCTTAATTCCCGCAACGTGCGTCTACATTCCGTGCCGTCAACGAGCGCCGACAGCAGTTGACAAGCGACACAATGGCGAGCCTGTTGGCTTTTCCCGATGGCCGCTAGCAAATTATCAAATTCTGCAGGCGCCGAACTCAACGCTGCAGCCACRAATCGCCGCGAWCGCATTTCCTTTGYCGTTAYACRCGCTCCATCAACCGAAGACGAGCCCCGGCGACACGGTCGCTTTAGCTGTCGAAGGGGCAGCGTATTGGACTTCGACTGCAGCTGCATTTGATTTTTGTTTGCGTCTGCTTTAAGTGGCAATTTACTAGCGCCACGCCACTCCTTTGGTCCTGGTTGTGCCGCGAAAGGCAGACCTCTTCACTTCAGCATTTGAAAAACAAGCTTATTGCAAAGGAGTAAGTTAAAAGTGCGGGGCGTGTGACTGCGCTTCAAATAAATACCACACAACAATTCTGTTAACAAGAGCGCCCTAAAGTTCTGTAAATAGTTTCGAGTTCATCAGGCATCACTTGATGTGAATCCGTAAAAAGTGTCGCCAATACTGACATATTTGCAGGAGACAACATCCTCTTCATTTTCATTTGATTTTGTGCTCTGTTGTGGCTTTTTGCGCGAAGAATTTGTGGCCGTGGCATCTAAGGGCCTTTTAGAAATATTTTTTTTTTTTGCTAATTATAAAAAGTCTGCGGATTTTGGGATGCACTGAGGCGATGGTACGACACTAAATTGCTGCTTTTAGAATTTTCCATTCAAACCAAAAGCAACTAAAACAATTTCCGACATGAAAATAAACAATTTTCTCATTAAAATGGTAGAGATTTTACAAATTAAAATCAAAATTCATATTTTTTTAGAAATAATTTTGGATGACTGTAAGGCTTGAGAGCCAAACATTATGAGTGAATTAGATAAATGAAAGCGCCACCTATCTTGATTTTTTTAGAATTTCTATAAGCTGCGTTATGTCTAGTTTTTCTTTTCCTATACAAACGCTCTCGTTATCTGCCATTGTATCAATTAATTTTAGTGTTCTAGGCCAAGTCAATAGCAGATTCCAAATTTTATAGCTGTAAACAAACGCTTGGGCCACTTGTGCCAGCAGCGCTCACCGCAAGCCTGGCTGGGTGAACTTTTCTAATATACTTTTATTTTAAAACACTGTAAAGGGTGCCTGTCGCACAACGGTCGGGGGCACCAACACATGCGCTAGCAGATGCTTGAGCAGTAAAGCACTTTATATTGAACTGCACGCAATATTATTAAGAGTCTCTGATACAAAACAAACGGCGAAGTTGTCAGGCACATTGTCCACTGCAGCTGCCTCCACACGAGCATGCCACTGGCAGCCGCGCTGAACAAGCGGATGTGCGAATGTGCAGTATGTGCACACACCCACACATACACGCACAAAAGAGCGCAGGAAAGTTTCAGTAAGTGGTAATAGTTGGCTAAGTTTCCTAAGCATCCGTTGGTAGGAGTCGCGGGAGTCTCCTGACCCAACGAAGATGCAGTTGCAACGCTTTGTAGGGTGCGCGTGTGGCACTGTGTGAGYACATATATTGTAGKATTAACGGTTTTAGTAGGTACTTGGCTTTTCGAATTTTGTTTTGCTGAAACTGCTGATGTTGCTGCTGTTGCTGCTGTTGTAGAAGATGGCATCTCAAGCAACTCGTGACGCGCACACTTGTTTATGGTGAAATATTTTCTAATGTCTGTATGTGTGTGAGTACTTATTGGTGTGTATTCTTCTAGATATGTAAGTGTGTGTGTGTGCGCTTAAGCTCAAAAGTGGTATTACAACTTTGTCAATTAGCTTAAGATGCGGCGTGAAAGCATGCAATGCTCACGCACTTACATTTCGCTGTTTGTAGAAAACACTATAAACCAAGATGCGTTGAAGCCATTGCAGAAAACTTTAATTTCAGAAAAAAATTGTTACCGTTTTTCGATACCAGAAGCGTTGCAACTTTTTATATGTTTCATTTATTGGSTAGTCGAAAAATTCTTTTCGTATTTTCCATATATTCGTATATCTTCAGTGCTTCCAAGCACATTGTGTCATACCATATATAGGTGACGATGCTGCATCAGTTCGAGTGGCACAACAATGGTGCGCTTGTTTCAATTCTTTAAATTTCGAAATTCGATTTACACTGATGGAATAGGATCTCTAGCGGAAAAATGGCAAAAAGTGGTCGACCAAAATGGTACAAATTTGTTTATTTATGTATTTATTAGAATAAATTAAAAAAAAATATGTTGAAGTGTGATGAAAAATACGAAAAGACTTTTTCGACTACCAATATGTAGATAGAAACATGTAGAAATTCTGACTTATAAATAAACTAGCGGCTTTATGAAGTTCCCTAGACAGTAGGCACTTGCAGTAAGTGAACTGAACAAGTGGAACGTTCAATATAATCCGAACCGAAGCTCAAAAACGTAGGATTCCGATTTCGAAGCAAACTTGACTTCATACAAACTACTTTATTTCAAAATGCGAAAACAAAACAAACAACAAGGTGAAATTATTGGCCACTAATTGGCTTGCAAGCCTAAAGCTCTCACTCATAATCTGATATACTTGTATAAAAATGGTAATGTAAACGCGTATGACTTTTMGAAAACATTCGATACTTTGTAGTTGACGACGATTTTCTCTTAGCGCTGCCGTCTGTAAACAACAAAACAACAATAACCAAAGGCAATAAGCGCGCTTTTGTCTGCTGCACTTTCACTTCTTGCAAGCTACACGTCGAACAGCAACAACAACAATGAAAGCCAGTTCAGCCAGTCGCTCTTGTCAYTTAYRCACAAACACRCACACATACATACATACATATAAATATACGTGCATATTGATACATTGTTGTAAACATTGCCAACCATTTATGCTGGCATGATGGCCACAACATAAAACACGTAAACGAGTTGCGGTCGAATAAAGACGTATGCACAAATGTGTGCTTGTGTGTTTGTATGTTAGCAGATTTTATGCAAATGCCAATCATATTTAAGTCCTAATTGCCACATCAATTCAATTGTAATTTGATAAATGCTACGGTTTTCATTTCACTTCTCTGCCGCGTCCAACGGCCAATGAAAACATTACGCTTTTCGTTGTTGCTTTCCACACACAAGCAGCTTTTGCTGCAAAACCATTGCAACAGCAATATGCTTTAACACACACACACACACTCGCATTCCAGCGCTTGTTTGCCTTTATTTAGTTGCTTGCTTTAAAAGAAAGTCGCCCGATTGCACAAGGAGCGCACAACTCGCATACTCAACACGTGTGTGTGTGTGTGTGTGTGTGTCGAATGTGCAGTATGTGAGGCACTGGGCCAAGTGGCAGCGCCAAATGTGTGTCAGCACCGATGGAGGTGTGCGATAAAATGATTGAGCGAAAAATTACTCGTGAACAATTGATACTTCCGGAAGTATGCGCGCGTTCCTTGAAGCCTCACAATGCAAGTCTGCAACTCTAAGCACAATAATAGGCATTGCTTTAAGCACTAGTTATTGGAGCGATATATTGTAACAGAGGTCTGAGTAGCAAATATTGTAAAATGATACAGACATGAGTTGGGATATGTGACGGCGTCGAACACACTGGCGTTCCACAAGTGACCGGATTTATTGCGGATCCTTGGTGAGGTGGCAATGCCCTAGAACGTGCTATTGAGGTCAGAATAACGCAAACCGAAATGGTTCGTGAAATGCATAAAAGAGAAAGGGGGCGAGCTTGTAACGGATGCAAGGTGGATGTGTGATTCAAATAACAGAAATTAAACGGTACACATGTGTGGTATTGAATTTGAATGTGTCGGCTGCGGATAACGCCATCTTATTAGCTTAAAGCTTAAAGAATTCGAATATACAAACCTAAATAAATTTTAATAGCACGACCAACTCAAARCTTGCTTGGAAAAGCTGCTGAGATAAAAATCCTAATCAATAATTCTTTCTTTCTACTTGCAGCACTATGAAATTCGTCCTGCTCCTGTGCATACTCAGCGCTGTGCTGCTACAAATTCAAGCCTCCCCCGTCCAGCTGGTCGAGCGCCAGGAACGCGCCATCGCGCGGCAGCAAGCCGTCAATGATGTAGCGCCCGTCGCCGCGCCGGCCGATGATGACGATGACGACGACGACGACGATGATGATGATGATGACGAGCCCGATCTAGGCGATCTCGTGGACGATGACGATGGTAAGTGCGCGCAGTAGCTAGTGCCTTTGCAACCAAAAATCTCACACTTTCGCAACACGCACAATAACTTCACAAACAAGTATTTACGTATTTAGTATTCGGCTAAGCAAACGAGCAAATTGAATTTAGCGATTTGCGCTTTCTCCATCTGCACCCTCTCAAATGGACTCTACTGCAGCACTCTAGCACCTCTTCATCACCTCTTCTTCTTCGACTGCAGTGTAGTGAGGACCACTGACGACTTTGCTGACTTTTCGTAAATTGGTTTGTTTGTTTCCATCGTTCGGTTTATGCGCTTCTATCCGCTTTTCGATTTCTTTTCTGTTTTCGCWTGCATTTGGTTTTGCCACTWTTGTTGTTGTAAGCAAATGCCAGCATTGTATCAGCACTGACTACTTGCAATGTTGCCACAATAGTTCTCTTGTGCTATTGTTGTAATTCTTCGCTCATTCTCACACTGATTGTGTGCCATTGTSAACCCGACTTTCAACTTTCAACTATAAACTGAATCAACTCTACTGAACCACACCGCACCGCACCAAGCTTTAACCAGCGCAGTGTAGCGCCAGCACCACTTCCACCAGCACCAAATCTACTTCTATGCAAGATTTGTATGAGCACGCACCGCCACCTGACAGTCAAGCAGCCAAAGCGCAAAGAGCACAAGTCTTTCAGAGCTCAGACTCTGACTCTTGGCTGGCATTGACTGCATGATTTTTATTAACTGTTTGTTTGTTTRTCTATAAATATTTTGTTTTTTCTCTTTCATGTGTTTTCGCGCTCTCTCTCTCTCGTATGTGTTTTAAAACAGTTGTATTTCTTTCGGGGCTTTCAGATGACGACGACGACGATGATGAGGAGGACGACGATGATGAGGAAGACGACACGCCACAGGGACAAGCGGCGCCAGCTGCCGCTGCTGCCAGCGACGATGATGAGGAGGATGATGATGATGATTATTTGGACCGTTTGTTCGATGATATTTTGGGAGGTGCGTACGACATATATTCAACTATATGTAGAGTCTACCTCCATAGTTTTTTGATTTTATTTGACATTTAAAAGCGAGTACTTAAAATGAACTGTTTTCACCAAAATGCTAATTTATTGCGCGTGTCGTCTTGCAGATGATGATGATGAAGACGATGACGACGAAGACACGCCCGCCGTCGCCAGCGCACCCGTTGCCGCCGCGCCGGTACCAGCCGCTCCTATAGAGGACCTCGCACCCGTCGGCCAATCGGCCGTCAGTGGCGGCATCTCGGACGGTGTTGATCTACCCCTCGAAAGCGGCAATGCTGCCGATGCTGTAGCCGCCGGAAATGCGGCCGACGATGCCAACGCTGTCTCCAGCAACAACAACGAAGGTGAACAAAATGTTTTTTACGATGAAGAATTAAGTAGTAATGTTGTAGAAGATGGCGGTAGTTTAGAGCCAATAATAGAAGAAGAAGAAGATTTTGAAAGTAGTGTCGTTGATGGTAGCGATGTTGTTAGCGATAGCGATAGTAATGGTAATATTGCCCACAATATTGCCGCACACATCACCAATACAGATACGCATCTCATACCGCATCATACAAATACAATTACAAATACAAAACTCCATAACAGTCAATCACCAATATCAGCATCCACGCCACAGAAACTCAGTCAAATTCATACTCATAAAACAAATTCGCTGACAAAAGCAAGCGCAGCAACAGCAGCAACATCCGCCACGCAAACAATAACAAAGCCAACAACAACTAATACAAAAACAAACGGTAGTGGTAGTAGTAGTGCAAATAAGAAGCAACAGCTGGCAGCGCCCAACGCGGCCGGAGGAAGCGTTGCGGCCGCCGCCAAGCCGGCAGTAGCAAGCGCCAATCCAGCGGCCGGCGCAGCAGCTGTCGCCTCGAATTTGAATAACAATAGTAATGTTGAGGATGATGATGATGATGATGATGATTACGATGAGGAAGATGATGATGATATTGATGATGGAGTCGCTGAAATTACAGGTGCCATAACAGGTGACGACGACGAGGAGGACGACGAGGCCGACGACGATGATGACGACGACGACATCATCGGCGAGAATGTCATTGAAGCAAGACGCGAAGCACGTGAGTCTAAAAATCAATCAGCCACTAAGAAACACGTAGCATCAGCTAAGGCCAAAAAATCAACAAGTGCTTTGAAGAGCAAAAAGGCGCTCAAACAATAAACAAGCCAATGAATATAGCGTAATTAACTGAATTTAATTAGAAAAACAAAAGTAATGACAAAGGACTTGAGCACATACACACATACATACATTAAGAACTCTATTCAATTATTAGCTATGGAAATTTACGAAATCGAAACATAACATAAACCACGCGAGCGACACTCGGGCGCTCGGCTTTCGGCTTTGAGCTGATTTTTGTTACACTTTGTCGCATTACAAATTCTAGAAGAACAAATTTGCTTAGAACTTTCCTTCCGTTTTGTTTCTGCTCCCGTTTGGTGCTAGTCAAATTAACCGTAAACATGTTGCACAATGGCACAATTCTCTACACAGCAGCCAACTAAGCTCAAAATTCACACTTGAAAAGTACACTTAATTGTAAAAAGTAACGGCAACAAAACAGTTTGATGTAATTTGCGATCTTATTTTTCGTTGACGTTTAAAGAGCTGCTTGTTCATACACTGCACTTGTTAAAAAAAAAAAAAAAAAATTAATAAAAAAAATCAATTATGATAATGTGTAACTAATAGTTTTCCAGCTTAAGCGAATCATTGTAAAAATACTACAAAAACTACAAAAATTTGAATTGAAAGTTAAGCGCAAAATTTGTATGGATGGCGGCAAATCGACTAAGAGCCATTGGTTTAGCCACCAGTGTTCGCTAGTTAGTCGCTTTACTGCACCAACAAACAATAAGAAACCTAAAATACATAAAATAGAAAGTGTAATATTTTAGTACGTATGTAGGTTAATTTATTTATTTCTGTAAATTATTTATTAATTTATTTATTTATTGTTTTTCCTCTCTAAGCCTTTAAGTACACATTGTCTGTCTATTTGCTAAACTAAAAATGAAAAAAAATACTAAAAAATAGTAACTGTAGTTTGTAATCTCTCTGTGTAAATGGTAAAAATTGTACTGGTTCCCAACTATTTCACTATCATTCATATGCATTCACACCCACATCACTAAGTTCATTGCAAAAACCGTTACACAACGGTTGCTGTGTAAGAATCGCATCTCTTCATACATCTTTCTGCGCTCGTCTCGCTGGCTTCTTCACACTCTTTGGGCTTCACCTCCTACTCTGTAAAGAAAACCTATCACTTTCACTTGCTCACACTTTCACACGCTTCTTCTCGCACCCGCGTCAGCTATTGCTGACAAAACGCTTTCTAATAATGCCAAAGGTAAACCACAAGCGTTGTRGTTGTGTAATGGAAGTGCGCAAATATTTTCGTAAATCAATGAAGGATGGCAGTGCGGTGTTGGTTCGGATGCCGAGACAACGCTTGAAAAAATTCCAACAGCATGACAAGTACTTACATGTGTACATACAACCCAATAAATTAATCGTAAATGCCATAAAGCAAAAAAAAAAAAAAGATAAATTAAAAATAAAAATATTCAAATCATTTATTTACAAAGCAAAAAAGCCTTAAATCGAGTAGGCCCCATAACCACAGACATTGCAGGCGAGCGCAGCATGTTGCCCCACAAAGCGGTTCCAAAGCAAAGAATTAAATAAGTATATGGAATCAGTCAAGTATCTAGCTACAGCGCAAAACAGAGAAAATCATACGAAGTGAGATATGCACAATTCATTTATAAGGAGAAAAGTGAATAAAAGTTAACTGAAAGTATTGCGCTACCGAGAAACACACAAAAAAACTGCGTTTTATTTCAACTAGCTGCGTATGTATGTATGTATGTATGTATGTAATTATGGCAGGCTTGCATGCGAGACATTGAGTTGGTTTCAAGCTTTGTTTGGCGCCAAAACCCACCATTGGCACTGTGGTGAGACATTGGCTGTGGTGAATTGAAAATTAATTATGTTTTATTTATTTTATTTTTTAATTTTTTTTTTTGTTTTTTATTATTGTAATTTTTTATTTATTTATTCTCCTTAAATATCTTGTTTAATTTTCCTTTCTTTTCTCGGGGTTTAAGAATATTTCATTAAAGACTTTTGCTATCCTCTACTATACATAACTGTAAAAAGTATAAAAGGTGTAAAAAGTAATATGATAAATGTAAATAAATGCTAGAACTGTAAAACTTATCTAAAATCACGCGCTTTAGGCAAACACGAAGTAAGTATTAAGTAAGCACCACATTAAGCCCTGGCAATACTCATTCTTATTTGTGTTATGCCGCAGTAATTGTTATTGCTTTTATTATGTTTACCTTCTGCTTTTTAGTTTTAAGTGGTCTGGGGCTAACAAGGTTAACGGTGTTTATAAGAAACTAGCTTTGATTGCACGAAAAATAGCGTCTTCATGCCTACGAAGGGCATTCAACAATCTTGACCAAGCAACTTTCAGGCACTTTAGCATACTGCTATTAAAAGAATTTTTTTTTTTTKAAAAATAAAAACTGTTATATGCGTATGCAAAGTATAGATTTTCATAAGTTCTTATCAAAGCTTCAAGCTAGTCTCGTTTTTCTAGCGCTTGCTAGACTTTCAACCCGCTCAGAAGTGAAAAAGTATTGCTAAACTACATTTGTTCTCGCACCCCGTGCAACTTGTAAACAGGTAAAGCCGACACTCACCACCATGTTTACAAGCCAAAGCTGTTTCGACTCTAATTTCTGGTTATTAAAAATTCTTTGCGCGAATTTGGCGATAGCGCGCTGAACAAGTTCAAACAATTGAAATGAAAATTTAAGAAAACTTGCACTTTTGCTGATTGTTTGCAAATTGTATTGCTGTGGAAAGTTTTCCATGCCAAGAAATTGTTTCCTGTTGCAACAATGTTGTTTTATTAGTAAAAATCCCATTGTTGCTGAGTGAAAAGGAGCAATTAAAAGTTTCTCACAAATGCCAATGAAGATGAGGCATCAAGTGTTCAGATCTTGCTTTACATTTACATGTATTAAGGATGGAGTACACATATCTCSTAAACGATAAAATATGCGAAAGAAACAGCTGATGACATACATATATAGGTTCCATTATCATGCCTTTGTATTTTAAGGTGTTACATGGGTTCCTCGAATAAAAGTCTGACCTTTTTCCTCATATAAAAAATAAAATATTTTCTTATAATTTTTATTGTTACAAACGTACACTATTAAGAAAGAAATTCTGAAAGTTTGGAAAAAATATTTTAAACTCTACCATTTYGGCGCCATTTCTGGTAATCCCCCGGAAAAAAGATGCGCTCGCGTAGGCAAGATAACTCCTTAGAGAATCCTCAGGAAGTGAAAAACATACGTATTTTACTTAAAACCTTAACTTAGAACTTGGCCGAAGGAAAAAAAACTGAAAATTGGATTGTGGCGGGCATTTTTACAAAAAAAAAAAAAAAAAATTAAAAATTTTGTGAAAATTTCGCGAATTTTTTTTTTCAAACAATTTTAAGCGAAACAAAAAACCTTCGTCCAAATCTTTAAGAATTGTATCTCAAAGGCCTGTGTAAAATTTCCTGAAGATAGGTTTGATAGTTCTTGAGAAATCTTGCCAATGGTCTTCAAAAACACTGTTTCAAGAAAAACGCATTTGAAGGCGGCCTCGAGGACACAAGTTCTCTAGGCTGTATCTCCGAAACTATTGCTGGGATCTACTTGAAAATTTAGGACAAATTCTAGAGATATTGTAGAATTTAATATGACAAAAAATTAAATCGATTTTTTGAAACCCGTAAACCCATGTAACCCCTTAAGGACGGGATGATAGAGTTTAACATGGTTAGGTTTATATTTAATAGCACTAAGTCACTTCTGGGAAAAATTTTAATTTTTAAATTTTTTAAATCTTAATTTTAATTAAAAAGTAATTGGGCATAAGAGTTCACTCAGTACCTTTAAAAGTAACACTCACTGCACAAAATTTTCTTCTTATTTGCCTGACCGCGTAACATCTTCTATAAAAGGCAGGGATAACAAACACGAACTGTTTGAAGCAGTCATTGACCTTTGTCAATAATCCGATTCTAACTCTGAAATAATTCTCATGTGTGCCAAACCCATAAATTTTACCTTGTATATATGTTTGTGTGTAATATTAAACGTATGTCATTTCTTTATTAAACCAACGAAAGCACTTTATACATATGTATATAAATATCTCACATAATTAAAACTATTAACATAAATGGCGTACACTTATGTATGTGTGCGTATAAATGTACTTGGGTTTGCTTAAGCTTCACTCAAACGAATATCGCTTTGGTCGATCTCAGCAGGATTATTATATTAAAAGTTTCACTCTCGCTTTGGTCGATCTCAGCAGGATTAGTTGTCCGTTTCGCTCACACGCAAAAACGACATTAATTCCGCATTTCAAATGCGCGCAAAATAATTCGCATAATGACTTTAACACACACACACATACACGAGCGCACATCAACACATGGACAACACTAAAATAATTCATAATTATTTCAAAAGTTTCAGTTTGGTCACGGCAGGCTAACAAGCGCATATCACTGCTTCAATGGCGTTTCGTTTTCATTCACTGTCGTTGCTGCTTTAAAGAGATACGAAGTGGGCGACCATCTAAATGTGGGAGAGGACATTCATCTAATTGTATGCATACACACATATACGCACAAACATATCATAGTATTTAGCAAGGTTGATTTCATTGTTATTGCGTGCTAAGCTTACTGTTTTAGGTTTGATTAAATTAATTCATATTTGCTGTGCGACTTCATAGCTGGACTTAAGCTACTGAAAAGGTTTCAGTTCAAATGCTAAGTTTCTCCAATTGAGAAAGACTGACAGMAAATCTTACTTCCTTGATCTGTTCACACATTTGAGCAGAACTTTGAAAAATTTAATGTTGTCAGGTTGGATAATTAAGGGAAATTTGCATTGACCGAAACAAATGGTAGTCCGATGGTGCAAGGTCAGGGGTATATGGTGGGTGCATAAAAACTGCCTAGTMAAGCTCTCCCAGTTTATGTCGAGTCATCAAAAATGTGTGTGGTCTAGCGTTGTTCTGATGGAAGGCGAAGCCCTTTCTATTGACCAGTTCTTACCGTTTTTTGTTTGCTTGCTTCATTCTCATCAGTTGTTGACAGTATAATATAGAATCAATCGTTCGACAAGGCTATAGCAGGTAATAGTAGAAGATTACTTTCCAATCACCMAACACTCAGTATAACCWTTCRAGGCGWCAACTCTGACCTYTCGACCATTTGTTGAGCTGCACCRCACTTCAACTACGACCTCTTTCGAACATTATTGTCGTATTTGATCCACTTTTGGTCTGGTTCGATTTTATTTCGATTGAGCAAAGAATCGTAGATGTTAATTCGTATCATTAAATTTTTCACAGACAATTCATGTGATACCCTAACATCGAGCTTATTTTTGTAGCTAGACTTTCTTAAATGGTTCAAAACCGTTTGATAATGAAYGCTATGTTCCTTAGCGATGTCATGGTTGCTTATGACAATAATGGTCGCCTGGTCAATCCGTTCTATAATTTCATCAAATTTTTCAACGAAAGGTCAACCTCAGCGAGGTGAATCTTCATATCGAAATTTCCAGAACTGAAGCGAACTGATGTAGCATTGTCACCGTAAACTTCACACATTTTATTGATGGCTTGCGTGGCATTCTTCCCTTTTTTTTTATTTTATTTTTTTTTTTTGTTTTTGAAATCTGAAAATATAAATAAAAAATACTAATTTTTGAACAGTTGTAAAATTTTTCAACTTCCCCGAATTTAATTTTTTTTTTTGTTAAATGAAGCTTAAAATCTCGAKTTTCCAACATAAGATGTGTTTTCGACTGCTCAATATGTGTTCTGCTTCCGAAGATTTTTTGTATTTGAATGCTTTGTACAGCAACATGGCAGAGTATTACACTCCAGCCAATTAGAAATACAGAAGTAATTTACATTCTCCTCGCATAGAGTTAAGATTTCTATGAGGTCGTCAATGTAACTGCTTTACATTACATTTCTTTAGTAACTCACTTTCATAACCTATGTGTAGATAGCCGCTGGTATTGAACATACAATTTCAAGGAAAAATTTCAATTTATAAGCGTGTGTGTGTATATAGACGACACACTTGTAACTGTTTATGCGCAAGTTCGCAGCTAATTATTTTTGTAGCTAATTTACTTATAATAATGCGATTTGCACAATGTCAGTCGCAGGCAGGGAGTCTGACATGCTGCTGGCCCCCAGCTGTGCTGCAGCAAATGAACTGCACATACAAACACACACTCACCTAGGTGAGTGGATAAAGTTTCAGCAGCGCGCAAGTGCTTAGTGCAAAGTGGCTAGTATCCTTTTAATAAAGATAGCATGCTAAACTGCTTAGGCTAAATGATTCCATTGCATTAGCATATGTTGTTGCTTACCGGTGTAAACATGTGCTAATCGTAATGAATTTAACGAGCAACGGCTTGTGGGGTTGGCAATATGGAACATATATGGAAGATGATTGAAATATTTAGGCAGCACAAGTTATTTCGAGGAATATATAAAATATGTTTTATTTACGCTTAAAACGCAGACAGCGGTCTATTCATCGCTTGGGTCACGGTTTATATTTTTGAGAGACCTGGAAATTATATTATGTGAAAAGTATATATTTTTGCTAAAAACTAGTAGCAGTTAATTTATTTAGCTCTCCAGTAGACTTTGGCTAACCACTTAGTTATTAAGTGGGTATTAATCAAAGGCTTCATAACTGCCAACTAGACGCAATTATTGCGCCAGACTAATCACTTAATTAATAAACTGTTCAATGGCTTAGTATGCGCTTGGTTAGTGGCTTCGCAATGCTTTAAGTCAATACTAAATTGGTGAGTGAGGTTWAGTGGCTATTAGCAGGTGGCCGTTGGCAGATGTGTGCTTACTAATTTTAGCTTACGAAAACCAAAATTATGAGTTATTGTAGCACAGGTACATGAAGCCATATATTAAATTGAATGATTATATAATTGCCATATTAATCAGCTTGTTGATCGTCGGTATTTAGGAAACCTGAAGAATAATATCATCGAAATGARCAACGACGCCTTCCAGGAGCGACACAATCAATTCATTGATTCGATATTTTCGCGCATCAATCGCATTGTGGCCGACAAYTACGATCCGTTTGTAGTGCGCTTGCACGCCCGAGCGGCGACCAAGAAAAGCGGCGCCGCCAGTGGCAGCTCAGCAGGATATGCAGCGTCGGTGACGAAGGGGAAGCCGGCAAAGTCATCAATGACGAACAGGCATAAACTGTGAGTATTTGTATTGGCACTTTTACGACTTCAATGGTACATATGTGTATATATTTATATAATTATGTCCATAAGTAGTGTGTGGCTTTGCTGATGTTGCGATACCTTCCCACCTACATACACTATCGATTTTGCAGTTGATTCTTAGTTATTTTCCTAAATTGCTAATAATTTCCTGAATCGTACRTAATAAATTGAAATAATTTCACTGGGGATCTTAAAATCACAGTCAAATACCTTTCTGACTACAATTACGAGTACTTAGTGAGCTTACACTCACTCATTCGTATTTTGTAACTCTCAATGTATGTACGTATATGTATGTATGTAAGTGCTAAGTTAAAGTCGCCTACAAAGGACATTGTCASCATTGAAATCAATTTCAACTCGATTGCTTCCACTCTTATCAATCTTGTGTCTCCATAGGAAAAACACCAAATCAGAACCACGCGCCCTGGATGAAGAGCCACGCCGCATGGCAGTGAGCGACGCTAAGGTACAAAGCAAATTACAGGAACAACTGCAGCAGTTACAATTACAGCAAGAGCAAAGCATCAAAGCAGTCGCTGCTGTGAAAAAAGCGGATGGCGGTGATGCTAAATTAGCGGGAAATGTCGGCGACGCTGCCAATGCGGCCGCTACATTGCCGGAAATGCGCACCGTATTAAACGGGGAGGCCAACAAGGCCAACGCCAGCGCCGGCGGCACAAAGAAAACTTCAAACAAGGCACATAAGACACACACGAAAAAAAGTCAAGCCAATGCTAACACCCACAACAACAGCAACGCTGGCACTAAACTAAAGCAGAATACTAAAAATAACGGTAATAGTAACAACAGCAACAACAATGCGCATGGTGCCGTTGGCAGTGGCAAAGAAATTGAAAAGCTGCAAAAAGCCGAAGGCAGCCTCTCCGGCTTGGCTTCGTTGAAGCGTGTGGGCAATGTGAAAGTGGTCGCCGATCCGGAAGGCTCCAACTCAACCATTAAGGCCAAATTCACTTTGGGTCCATTGACTTTGCGCGTRGAAAAGTCATTCAAACGCGGCAGTGTGCACAGTGTGAARAGCGCTACAGCGCGCACCAACGAGATGATTGGCCGCATCAAATTCGGCGTCGTCAACGATCGCGCCACACTCATGTCCATTAAGGTGCAGCAGCCAAAGCAGGTTGGTTGGATGAGATGAAATCGAATTCTTTTTTAACCCATTACGTACTAAGTATTACCCAAAAATACTAGGCACATAGTGCGCTTTCTTTTGCAGTCTTGTTAGTTATGCTAAATGTTCTATTGTTGTATTGTGTTTKTATTTGGTAGGTGGAGGTGGAGAGCAAGGACAATCACGACCGCACACGCGAATTCGTTTGGCGGCGCACACCGAAAATCGCCAAATTAGTTAACGAAAAGCTGAAATTGGCCGCCGAGTCGCTATTCACAACCCAAGGTGTCGAAGTGGTGAGGCTGTAGATGACTGCCCGTCTTCGTAGTTAATTATATATAATTTTACGCAAATATTTGGGATGCGGGTCGGTGAAAGTTTAGGTTGGCAGTGTAGCTCTACCGTTTTCCATAAGAATGGTAATCGAGATTATCTCTAACTTTGTTAATTATAAGTATTCACAAATATATGACCCTAATTTATTATTTATTTATTCATGGTATATTTATTTAGGAGCATTTATTTATTTCGTCATCGAACTATATAATTTATTTAATTAATTCCTTTGAAGCTAATTGTCTTTAGTAATGTAGAGATCCCGCTATATTTTATAGACAAAAAATTCCAATAAATATAATTAATCCTCATTTAGATGTGTTTGTCTTTTAATAATTATCTCGCACCGTGAGTTATAACGGGTGATCCAAGTTGAAGTACTTTTTTCAATAGCCTTTTTTGAAAGATCACTGCCATGTTAATTTTAGATTAAAGCCTTACGAACCAGGTTTACAAATTTTTCAACTTTAATACGAAAATTCACGTTCTGTAAAGAACACAATAGKCTTCCAGAGCGTACTATTCGCAACACCGTCACCCATCTTGAGGCCCACCATTCATAATTGGATAATATTTGACCGAATAGACCACGCCCAGCATGGAGTGAAGAAAATATGGCAGCCGTAGCTGRGAGAGTATACCACATGACCGTTAAAACAACAACAATAACAGAGTATACCAGATGACCGTGAGGAGTTGATTCGACGCCGTTCGCAGCAATGCGGACTGACGTATGGAACGATTTGGCGCATTTAACGTAGAGGTCTTAAGCTGACAGTGTACAAAATACAACTTGTGCAAGAACTGAAGACTATCGACATTCCCAAGCGACACCGCTTCGCTCTTTGGGTTCTTGAAAAGTTCCAAGAAGATTCAACGTTCTGGCCAAATTTCAGGCACAATGGGTGGTTCATTCACAAAAACATCGATCTACATTTCTTCAAAATGATGCCCGTAAGAACGTAACCGTCAATGCGACCGTTATTGCGCCACGATAACCAACTGTTTGATGCCCGGACTTTAAGCTCGTGATATCTACGACATTTGGTTTCAACTTTCCACACATCGCATCAATCAATGGATCTATTGAAARAAMCAAGATCKTKTAATAATACCTCGTTCRACTTKTTCTTGCTTGGAYAATGCTGCTTCGATTYAGGTTTTGAAGCAAAACATCACGCATGCCATTCGGCAGTTACTAGACGAAATGTTGGAATGAATAAACGAAAATTGGACCCAACGGATGGACCATCTAAGAAGCAGCCACGGCTAACATTTGAACAAGATAATCTTCAAACCAAMTACCAAAGAATGTTCTTTCGAGTGATAATATACTACATTCCCTTTTAGATTTTAAGTTTCTGTGGTTTATGTATGTAGTGGCGAGAACTACCACCGAACGAATAACAAACCAAAGAATGACGCCCGACAACTTTATAAGTCCTATGCTGCAGTCAAAGCTGGTATGAGCGAAAATGCTAGTTGGGCTGCAATACCAATCCAAGAAGTGAGGATAAAAGAACAACAGCTGAGAAATATAAGACCAGCTGAATAATCCCGCAGGAAGTTTGTACAGAGGCGTTCTTGCCCAGCTTGGTCTGGCGAAAAATATGCCTAACGGCGTACTGTTCCGTAAGTACAGTAAAACCAACTGGGAATGATCCCAAAGGGGGTGTATTTTTACCGGGCATTATGAAATGTGCATGCTGCCTTTCTACAGCGGTAGCTACTTTGGAATATTCCCTCCCCGAAACCAAAAAAAAAAAAAACGGAGTCTTAAAACCTTATCTAGGCAACGTATTGTATTAATGAAATACAGGTCAGCACGCTTCTTGGTTCTGTGGTAAACTTACATATTGATCCATATTATGGTACCYTGGTTTGTAGTAACCCAAAAGCATCAATTTTTTAGATGGATATGATTCAATAGATATGCTACTTTAGTTGTTTTGCATTCCATGGATGTGCGCAGGTTGACCTTCAACTAACGTCGCCTTCCTGTATCGCGTTGTATTTTTTCATCCAGAAATAGTTTACTTCGTGCGTGACCTTTAAATAAATTGAATATTCAAGAACTTTTATCGACCATGGGGTGTGTCACATGCAGTAGCAACAATGAGACCAACAGTAACAAAMGCTCTTCTGCAACTGCCGCAAACTGCAGTTTCGTGTGCGTCGGGCGGTAAATTATATAAATATGAACAATGTACAAAAACTGTTGATACTCCTAGTAACTGCACATATCTCCATACTGGCATCTGCTTACTGAGAAATATATGCAATATACAACTATGCATATGTACTATTTGTGCATGCATTTGTTGAGTTGCCCTTGAATAATTCCCGTGAAAGAGCCAAAAGGGAAAGGTGAAACGAAAAACTAAAAAGTTCTTGTTTGCAATTTCGCATAAATCCATTGTTATTTTATTTAGCGGAGTTCACGGTTGAAATAAACCCAAAGTTGGAAGCGGGTTGGAAACCGTTTCTAGTAGGTTTCCGGACACTTTAAGGTTCTTGCTAAAAGACATAACAGTATACTGTGTTTGTTTCATATGTATTTAACGCTTCATCGAAAAAAAATCTTTGAGTTTTATAAATTCCTCAATATTTTGTTATTGCAGATCTTCAAATAACTTGAAGCAGGCAAGCAATTTTGTATGATATATGGAGAATACATATATGTATGCGCGAATGATAATGTGTCGAATATTGTCCTTGCAAGTCACACTATTGAGTGGGCATAATAAATTACGCTCTTCAGAGTCTTCAAATTACACACGCCAACGAGTGAAACTTGTAATTTGCCAATCGATAAAGCGAAGGGGTAAAACTCAAGAGTTCACCAGTGACTACCAAAGAGCAKGGCACCAACAAGCCCGAAATTTGACGAGAATAGTTTCTAATGATTATACAAGTAACCATGAATTAATTATGCAAYACTGTATTAATTATTTATTTAAAGGCCCAGTGTGACGTTTGTCAAGACATCACTCTTGTAGAAGTACAAATAGCTATTTTTAACGGGTCTAATTGAAATATGTATATATGTTACTTACTATGTTATCAAACATGTTTGTTTAGTGTGTCAATAAAATGCATATTGAGACGTAATTTATGTCAGTGTAACGTCACTTCGTTTACTGCCTACGAGCGAAACTGAACGCCACTCTAATAATAATATGGTTTGACATTCATTATTGGTTGACTGTGCTTATACCKTATGCGTAAACAGATTACATTTCAATTAATTAACTTTCGAAGAAAAATATTTATATCAGATATGTATGTTTATGACGTCATAAAACTCGTTCAATAAAATTGAAATTAATTTTCATGGAAAAAACACTAATTTTATTTATTCGATGTCAAATGTCAGCAGTTGACTATGGTCTCCATAATATGTTTAAGATTAATATTAAAAAAAGATACCTCGTTACTTAATGAAGGGTTCGAAATCTTATCTTGGCGATCAACTTATATGGTGAATTGATGAGGAAGGAAATAAGAAACATTTTAAATAGTATTTTTTGCTTCACAAAATTTCTAAGGCAGACAACGATTGCAATTGCTCCTGAATGTAGTTTTCAACAGCCAAGAAGCAATGCGTGGATACTAACGGGATTTCCAATATAGGCAATTGCTCCTGAATGTAGTTTTCAACAGCCAAGAAGCAATGCGTGGATACTAACGGGATTTCCAATATAGGCGCCATAAAAGTAAACTGATAGAGACCGCAAACGACACCATATTTTTTCCCGCTCTTTTCACATTACTCTTTACTAAGGTTTGCCATTTCATTATAGAAAGATTTACGATCCAMCAGGGAGTCGAAATTGTTAAAATTCATTTCCGAAATTCGGAGTCAATGGCCTGGACTTTAAGAGCTACGACTAATTTATGATTGTCATAATCGATCAATTGAGCATCTAGTGGATAAAATTGTAATCCAAAGGCACAGTACAAAGTGTTCCAGTGCCAGTAAGGCAAAGAAGTGCCGATAGTGTCGAGAATATTATTGCCGCTAGCGCACCAATTGTGGAACACTCAGAACAGTCTCTCAAACGTCGTTTTCAAGCCTAGGGCTTCTCTGTGACATCGAATTCTGCGAAAAGATTTTGGCTAACATGTTAACTAAGAGGTTAACTATGACTTAGTTGAATATTGCAAAGAACCGTTTTAAGAATTTCGTTTCGAAAGATTAAATACTATACTATGCTGAAATTGACTTTTTGTTTTACCAATTTGGCCAMATATTAAATCTGTTTGGACACGTTTTTTCACAACCCCAACACAACTGTGACGGGCGAGCGTGRCACTTTGCGCCAGTCTTTGCAACATGCCCTCATCATCGTCATAATTTTCATGCGTTACTAATTCGTTTGTCCTTTCCTTCATTGCAGTCGTTTTCCAAGGTTTATATATTTTCGGCGACACGTACCATGAGCCGCCCGCGCTTATGTTCGCACGCTTGTAAGCTGCAGCATAAATACCACATTCCTGGCATTCAAGCGCTTAGACCACCATATGACGACTGGATTTTTAATGAAAGTCACATTTGGCAAAACRGAAATAAATCACTAAGCCCGACACAAAAACAACGATTGAATTGAACAAAACACACAAAATTTGTGCCAACCGCGTTGTTTGTTTCTATGAATGTGMTATTGTGCTTACGTACAGTTATTATGTACGCATATCGTCCTTTCCACATACATACTTGTTTACGATACACACACACACTCCACTTGAATGGATATTTATAAATAACGCTCTTTGGCGGAAGCGCACTCCCCCACTCCACCCCTCAACACGGCCATACGTGTAGATTACTTTCACTGCCCCAAAAAAGTGGCTATTTAACGCAACACTAACTGGCAGCACATGTTGTGGCCCAAAAAAAACTGAGTGCCTTTATACCCAACGCACATTTCATGGTCGCATAATTTATGAAACAGATTTTTCTTACACAAAAATTAATTCAGAAAATTGGTGATATATTTTTAATATTGCCTAGTATCAGTTATTGGTTTCTTCTTTCGCCGGTTTTTTCATCAGTTTGTTCGATTCCTTCACACAAATATCTATGTGCTAATTTTTCAAATTCAAAAAGAATGTTGCACTTAGAGCATTCTTGCGTTGGGTTCGAAGAATGA